GTGGTTTGGTTCATCGAAATATGTGCGTGGCTTTGCCATGCAATATATCTGTGTTAACTCCCCAGCCCTTCATTAGCAGCCAGTAGCCCTTGTTCTTGGGAGCTCTGACTCCTCTCGATTGAGGTAGTGACAGAGGAGAAAATGGACGACCTAGATAATGGCGCGTACTGGAAGACACGAAGCTAGAATGTTGGGCTATATATAAGTATGCCTATAAGAGTAGACATCGGCATGGCATAGATGATCTCTCATACTGTCCGAGACAATCCTTACCCGGTCGATTATCGATTTCCGATCCATCCTCCTCATTTGAGATGACGATCTTACGTACCGTACCGTACGCAACTACTAGAGCCCCAACTGGATCCAGTCTTAGGAGCACGGCACGGTTTTCGAGCAAGAAATTACATGTTAACAGCCCGTACATAAAGCACAGTCATCGCTTGGTGACAACTCGTAGCTCGATTTCAATTCAACTTGAACATGCACGTGAGCACGTCGCGTCCGTGGGATCAACCAAGCAGGGACAAGCAACACGACGAATCACAGCCTGAAATTGCAATCATCAGCGGACAGGAGTGTCGGAAGAAGAAAAAATTACGCAGTGACGCCAACAGTCTCGATGGGGAGTCCAAGCATTGTAAGGCCGGTGAATATGAAGATACCCGCGCTGGCAAATACCGGACTGGATGAAATCCCGGGTCAAGCATCCACATAACTCAAAGAAATAGCCAAGAGCAGACGTACCCGTTGGGCGTCTTTCCAGAATTGCTGTAGACTGCGATGACTGTACCCATCGCATAAGATTCTGAGTGGTTGAATGCAGTGAACTGCACAAACTGGGAGCGAAGAGGCCAGTAACGCGGCTCGCGGAGGCAGCAAGAGCATCGCCCGTCCCGCGACGCGGGGTCGGGAAGACTTCTGGTGCGTATCCGTACAATACCTGAAAATCTTCGGTAAGCCTGGTTTGTTTCTCGTGAAGGCAGATTAAATACCCCGTAGAAGGCGTTCTCCCAGAAACTCGCGATTGAAATCAAGGCATTTACCTGCACTGACGTCCGTGCCACGCTACCGAGTAATTAAATAAGATGAGCGAAACCAGCGTAGTCGAACGAGTCGTCTCACGTCAGGGCAAAGAGGAAAACGCCGGACATAATGGTGAAAAATCTGGGAACAGACTTAGCTAACTCTGATGCCCTGTCAACGAAAGCAACTGACGCCATCGAGTATTTTCGGCCGGTCCGGGACCACTGGACCATTACAGCGGCGAGCAGAGACCCACCGACACCGCATGCTGCCTGGTATGTATACGCAGCTAAATGAGCAATAAGCACGCAGTGTGGTAAACGGACATCGGACGACTTGCAGTATGTCGCGTCAATCCCAGTCGCACCCGTCTCTGTTTCACGGGCCGACAAATAGCTTCCCCTTCATACCGAGCAGATTAGCGCAGAATTGCCTCTTAAGGGAGAGAGCCTCACAAGAAAGCGTTGAAGAGAGGGTATGCAAGCCCAAGAGCACCATCTGACGTGACGTGAACATCGTGAGTATATCGTTCACAGATCAACAGCTAGCGCCTTACAAATAAAGATAATAAGGCTGGATGAATAAGCCAGGCGAGGGGTGCAGAATAGTCCCTTGATGTTCTCTCCGCTGACGTCGTCGCTGAAACGGAGAGTTAGTTTATGGGGTAATTTATTTAAGAAATGGCTCACAAGCTGTTGCGGATGAGCTGCCAAGTGGAGGAGCGTGTGACGGGGACGCTGACACCAACCTCGCTGGGATCGAGGTACGGCGCCGCAGCGTCGTGGAGGTCTTGAACAGTGAGGCTCGTGGTCGTTTTGTTCTTTTTGGCGATGCGGTGGATGACGTCGACGGCGTCCTGGTCGCGCCCAATGCCTTGAGTAAAGCATGAGAATGCAGGAAAAATATGTCTGCAAGACGTGTACTCACTGACGAGGAATTTGGGAGACTCGTCCATGGGGAAGATGAAGACCCGCACGATAGCCAAGACCAGCATCATCGTGCCCATAGTATAGTACGAGTCTGCGTAAAGAGTCATCTGTTATGAGGTATAAAAGAAACGGGGATCGAAAGGAGGACTGACACCGCCAGCCATTGTTGTTCGTATTATCACAGCGGTACAGGCTCCCGTCCGAAAGGACGAGCTTATCGACCAAGGTCGCGTCGCAGGAGAACCTGAATTCATGGGTCAGATCAACGCGATTTACATTCGAGGTTGAACTAACTTGGCCAGGAATACCCAGGCAATAAGTGACCCGACGACCTGGCCTACTGCCCACCAGAGAGAGAGGAGGGTAAGGAGGTATTGGTCCTTTCCTGGGAGGAATTCGAGGAATAGCGCTCCATCCACGGGAAGATTTCCGCCCACGCCGAATCCTAAACCGAGTTAACAGCAAATCCCTTTGGGGTTGAGTGAACGCACCGATGCATGCAAGCATAGCTTTAAAAGTTCGAGCGGCATTTAGTCAACACAAAGATAAAAAGTAGTACGTCACACACCGCACAAGGTTATAAAATTCGGGGAGGCGCCGGCACTAGCCAAAAATGAACACCAAATTCGAACCATGAAATCAATGTACGCACGCGACTCCGAAAATTCCAGACAGAAACAGAGTCGCGTTCCAAGCGGTGCGTCTGCCGATTACATCGCAGGTCATGCCCCAGAAGGTCGCCTTGGATGTATGAGATGTTTAGCTTGAAAACAGAGAAGAGACAGGTATTTACGCCAACGATCAGGCCACAGTACAGGGCAAAGGTCGCCATACGGATGTTGCTCGAGTAGTTGGGGAAGTTATGCTGGTTAAGAAATTTCGGCTAAGAATTGATGGAGGATTGAGGGGGGCATACTTGGTTGGCAATAGCAGGCATCAAGATGGCTATAGCTTGGAGCCAAATATCTTACGTCGCGTCAATAAACGAATGCGGAAGAACGAAGAAGACGTCTCACTGTCGGCGAACCAACTGCGAGATGAAAAGCGGTGGTCACGATACTAAATAAAAAATGAACGCTGGTGGACGAACCCGAAACCTGAGTCACCATAAATTAACTGGATCGGCAAGAAACAAAAAAAAGACGCACCAGCACTGAAAAACAGCTCCCACTACATTCATATCAGTCACAAAACGGTAATGGTGTTGGCAATGCGGCGCGTCCGAACGCGCCAGCGAACGATTAGAAGCATAGGGCTTCAAACCGTCTTTTTACGTAAAATTATTATTTTCGTTTTTTTGTGTTGCCCTTTAACTTCTGACTAGTGAGTTATAGGTGGCGAGGAGGGAATTAGGTGTCCCCCAATTGATATCGAAAAAAAATTCTCATGTAGTACACCTCTGAGGTACAAATGGAGGATCTTTGTACCCGTCCCCGTCCTTCCCGTCTTTACATAACGGGCGGGTAAAATTTTGATGTCTTTTTTGAATTTTCTCGGGAGTCTATGGCAAATACATCTCATATTTGGTGCCAATTTGTCTATTTGATCCCAATGGTCAGATTTCGTCAAATGTTCACCCTATTTGTGCATATTGGTAACGAGTTGTGATCAAAAGACGGGTGATCGACGGGTGTAAAGACGGAAAAGACGGTTTGAAGCCCTATAGAAGCATCGATTGTCCGATGGCGCGGCAATGAAGCGCCACCGACGCGTGCAACCGAGCACCTACCTGGTACCTGGGTCGAGAATCAGCGGTGAAGGTAGAATATTGTCGTGGCTGGCACATACCGTCCCAGCCCGCAGTCAGCAATGGCGCCGTTTAGAACTTTGACCCTGTTAGATACAACTGCTCAACCAAGCGTACGTTTGCAGGACCAGGTCGACGTACTTGGCCAGAAAAATGGGCTTAATGCCCTCCACGTGGGCTCTATCTATCAGCGCTTGGACACTGCTGTCGTCGCCAGTTTTCGCGTCGTCGCCGGTGGCCTTGTCGTGGACTTTTTCATGAGAGTGGTCGCTCATCGTCGTTCGAGATGGGAGATGGAAAGAATGGAAGAAAAATATTTGGTCATCAATTGGCTATACGATCGGTCCGACTCAATCTCCACTGTTTGAAACCACGCACGTTGCCTAGATGCCAAACGGAGAAGCCCAAGGGAGGAGTAGTATGCTGAGTTATTCGGAAGGATAATGGGAGATAACTTATGGTCCCGTGCCTCAAAAGCTTTCAGCGGCCCACATGAATCTCGATTGAGCGTGAACTGAAGTGCAACGAGAGTGTGCAGGAAAATATGCTGCCGAGTGTTTAAGCGAATACGAATGGCCCCACGAAATGAGTCCACGAAATCCCGCAGTACGTCTTGCCCGCGGTCTTCGCAACACGCCAAGTTTAGGCTGAACAAGCTCCGGATCGATTGGTACGTATCGAAAGGGAGTCCATAGTGCAATATTCCAACTGCCATGGCCAGGTTGACAGGTGACAGGGAAGTTTGCGCTTCTCATACGTAAAATTCAAAGAAAGATTTAGTAAAATTAAACATAAAAGAATGGCCAGGTACCGGGCTGCCGCGGGACGTCGAGCGGGGCGGCGGGCCCACCTGGCAAGGCGCGTCAAGCGGCACACCCCATCGGCCGGTCTTAAGACGAGGCATCACGGATGCCGTCCTGCATCAAGACCGGCATGCCGGCGATCTCGGCATCCCACCAAATCACCAGGGCAACTTCGCTGCCGCCGACGTCGCCTACCGGCCCTCAACGAAGCCGCTCACCAAAGCCACCGACGCAGCCGCCTCTCGCAGCCCGTGCCCGACGCCGCCCACCGCGCTCAATGTCATCAACATTATTAACGCCACTCAGCTTCGCTGGACTCAACGGCGCCGACGCCGACGCCCTCGTGCTCTGGGCGGTGCCACGCCGCTGCCGCCGCCGCCTCCAAAGCCGCCAAAGCCACCCCACGGCTCCGGCGGCGGCGGCGACGACGGGCGGCATTGAAGAAGCAGGGCCTATTTAGCGGAATGTGGCGGTGTCTCTGAGGCTTCCTCTTATGGGCGTATGGTGTAGTGGTATCACTCATGCTTTGCAAGATTGCATATTCTTGTGTGATTCCAATGTATGCGGTCCAGGGTTCAAACCCCTGTGCGTCCAGCTCTTTTGTCCTCGACATCTACATTATTTTGCCGATCCAAAGCGCCGTCTAAATATTTTATATTCCACCTTTTTCCTTCGTGGCCCAGGTTGTCCAGGCATGGCATCAGAGGGAAAACATCACATTAATATTGTTGAACTTCACCTGTGTTGTGCTGTTCACGCTTCAATCCCGTCCACGTCCTTCAATCCCGTGCGCGTCCGCCTTTTAGCACGGCTGCGCTCTCCAAGCAGGAATTTTTCTCTCGTTGCCCCTTTATGTGTCGCGGGTATTAGTACAGCTCAGTCGGGCCATTGGAATACAAAAATCGATAGCCATGATATGATACATTGGCTGCGTACATTAGCTTGGACGAGGAGTAGTCGGACCATCTCCCTCAGAAAGAGGCGACATCTGGCCCGTGGAAGGATTGGCAGGAGGGATTTCTCCGGGACTATCCTCGACCGGCTTCATCGCGTCCGCCTCGTGTCCGCCCTCGAAATCCCGCTCTATATCGGGCACGTCGCCGAGCCACTCGTGCAGAACGAGCCCACCGGCGCTCATGCGGCCCTGCGGGTCGAGGTCTAGCATGGGGAGCAGGAAATCTGCGATCCCCTGCGCTTCGGGCGGGGGGAAGAGGTACTTGTCGTGGAGGACCGATGGGAGCGGCCACGGGCGCAGATTCTGGATGTGTCGGAGTTTACCTGGGACATATTGGGTCAATCCGACGAGATTGTGGAGGACAAGGAAGACGCTTACCTCCCGCATCGAAAAACTCTCCGCTCCACCGCCCGGATTTTCGCACATCCTCGGGGAGTGGGCCGAGCAGCTCGATGATCTGAGCCATGTGGTCGTCGTCTTTGGTATATCGTGGTTTTCCTCCGGCGCCTTTCGGTGCAGGAGCTGGGTCGAAGAGGTAGTCTCCGCCGGTTATCAGCTCGAACAGCTGGTGATAGGTCAGAGGGGCGCTCCGGACGATGTTTGGACTGGGCTTACCACGCAGGCGACGCTCCATATGTCTGCACTCGTTCCCCACGTGGTGGAGCCAACGATGACCTCGGGGCAGCGGTACTGCCGCGTCTGGATGTCATTTGTGAAATGGTGATTCGTCCATGTCGCTGTGGAGGCACGATAGGAGGAAAAGCGGGAAGGGAGGTGATCGGTTAGGGACGCAGGAATCGGACGAGGGCTAGAGGCAAGCTAACCATTCCCCAAGTCTGCGATCTTCACGGTGATCATCTCGTAGTCCCCCTCCGCATCTACTTCCTCTACCCACCCCTCCTCGCCCTCCACCTTCTCGCTGGGGCCCGCACGACTTCCGGGACGGTCAAGATCAAGGGTGAGTGACTGAGGTGTAGGAGTGAGGACGCGCATCGGAGTGGTCGACGCTGGGGCGGATTGAGAGATGGTCAACGAGGACATGCCACCCAGGGCCTCGTCGTCGTCGCCCAAGCTCCTCTCCTTACCCTTCCCCTTCGCCGAGTCGTCGGAAATCTTGAGCATCCCGAGCCCCCATTTATCACCCGTCCCCTTTCCGCGGCCGGTAATGCCGCCGCTCAGCGCAGAGAGGCTGACGAAGCTCCCGCTGGGGCTAGAACTGGGCAGCGGCTGGCTCCCCGTTATATTGACGTTGATCTGGTGGTGGCGGGGCCCTGGGGTGAGGTTTCCCCCACGCCCAGTGGACGCAGGCACACCGGTGAGTTTCTGATGCGGCGGCGGTATCTGATGTGGGGCAGGCGGTGAAGTGGATAGAGAAGCGGAGGACGCAGAGGTTTGGAGAACCATCTCGGCCTGGATGACCGCCTCAACGTCCGGGATATAGATGAGGACATTTTCGGGCTTTAGGTCTGACCAAGGCAAGGTCATGGAAGAAGAGATACGTATTGGAGAGCATCTCACCGGTGTGTATAACGTCGCAATACCGATGCATGTAGTCGAGACCCAGCAGAACCTGTTTGGCGATCTGCTTTACTAGCGGGATGGGCACAGCTTTATTCTATAACAATGGGCATCGTATCAGCATTCCGGCGGAGCATGTCGGGACGTACCTGGTGCCTCTTAATTAAACCCAGCAGACTCTCGCCCAAAACCTCAAAAACCATACAAACATGCGTCCCATTGGGTCCTCTGTGTCTGAAGTGATCGAGGAAGGATATAACATGGGACTTGCCCGGGTGAGAATTTGGTGTGTTGGGATCGGAAGATGTCACTAGACGCTGGAGAAGCTTTATCTCATCTACCGCCGTCTCAGTGTAACGGGGAGCGGATTTGACGACTTTGAGGGCAACATGTCTCTGCATCCTGCGCACGTAAATCACCGCGTTCGTGCTCTATAACAAGGGAAATACGCACTGGACGTCGCGTGCCAGCCACACGGTGGAAAAGTGCCCCCATCCGAGTTTCCGGACGACGACGTAGCGGTTGTCGGAGAAAGAATCTCCTATCGAGACAGGGTGGTAGCCGCCAAGTTTGTATTCCTGCCAGTCCTCTTCGTCTTCGGCCATAGGGGCAGCGGAACGGTCGCGGAACTAGGACAGAGAGGAGATGTTATCTTTACTTCCTTATCTCTGCCCGGTTCAACGATCAAACAAATGGTGATCCAATTTACCCTTTCTTGTGGCGGCCGATGAATAGAGTGAATAAGGAAGTATTTCGTGCCCGACCAGGAATCCCGAATTGGAGTTCAGAAGTCAAAGCGCATTCTAGAGTTAGTTTCTGTACCTTGAATGCAATTTCGGCAGAATTCGGCAGCAACGACATTCATTATTGTGGATAACATCATCCTGATGGCTTGGCTAGATCCGGCCGGCTGGTTCCGGCGGAGGCACTTTCCTTTCAACCAATGGGAAGAGGAGTAAATGTCATACTGTAGCGTTCAATTCGCACTGGTCGGTGAGTGTCTTCAAGCTAGCATGTAGTATGCACGCTGGCATGTAGAATAACAACGCACCTTCGGAAAGGAATCCTGTCGTCATATACATTCTGGTTGTCTTCCCGGGTTGAATTTTATCGGCGAGCACTTACTATACGAGACGACGAAGTCCTGGTATACTTTAGCATCTTGTGAGCCCGGTAGCGCTCGAGATTCAGCTCTCAATGTAGCGGAGCTCGAGGTCACTGCCGGGAACGTCGTCACCAAATTTGAACCCAGCATACCAATCCTCCGAGTTCATCTCGAGTTTGTCCGAAACCGTGGGGTGGGCCGTGTGAAGGCGCGAGTGATGATGTCCGGTCCGTGTCCAGGAGCGAGAGATGTGGAAGGACGAAGCAGGAAGCCGTGTTGAGCTAAAATGCAACTAGTAAACGCTTTCAGGGAAGATTAGACCACAGGTCCAGAATACAGATTTCCTGTGTCGCCGTACAGGGATCAGAAAACTCGAGATCACAGAGTGCGCAGACAGTTTCTAGTAATTCTTCGACCGAAAAAGGCGGGAAAAACCCGTTTGAAAGTGGCTGCGCAGTGTGACTCAGAGGCCGGAGGGAGTGCCAGTGACTCGACCGGGTACGAGGGTCCTCGAAGTAGGATCATGGAGTAGAATGCACGACCGCTGTACCAGCTGGAGGCAGTGGGGAAGAGAGAGGCAGCCTCCATACGCAGTCAAGTGCAGGCAGGTGCGGGTAGAGAGCGTTCAAGGTTCGATCACATGCTCCCACCGTTGAACGCCACATCGCAACATATGGACGCCACATCTCGCAGCCGACTTCAGAGAGCAAAGATGATACCAATGGCTCATCGGTTGGCTCGCCAAAAGAAAAATGGGTTCACTCGTGAGCGAGTACTCAAGTTTTACCCACCTTTGCCATGTTCAACTTTGTTCATACGCGGTGTTTCATGGTCCAACCACCGGAATCCCTTGTATGCCCGAGTAGTACAAAAAACAAAACAGAATGAAACAGTGAGCAGTACATATCTACAACGTGATCCATTCAGGTCTGTTAAACAGCGAGCACCTCCGTGTCCTTTTCCTCCTTGCTATCCCGCCCAAGCTCAGAAGACTTCTCGTCCTCCACGCTGTTCGAGGTGTTGTCCTCGAGGCTAGGAGGAGGCGCGTGCCGGAATTTGTACCATGCAGCAAGCGTCACAATATTTGCGCCGAGCGCGAAAAATATTGTGGGCCACGGGAGTTCCGCAGATATCCTGACTTTTTTTTTCCGTATTGGTTAGTTTATTGCACGCATCCCTCGACAGCATAAACACTGACTGTAATAGACTTTGCGGTACTGCGTCGAGATTCCCAGTCTGTCGAGAACAGCCTGGATCGTCGTCGCGGCGACTTCCGATGAGCCGTCGTGGACCGTGAGCGAGCCGGTCCGCTTGAAGACGAACATCGTGTGGAAGACGGAGGCGATTGTTATGCAGATGGTAGCAAACAGCAGTGCGCCGGCCTGGTACGGGAGCGTCACGCTCGAAATTGGCTGCTCTGGGAGCTTAAACCGCCGCAGAAGGAACGGCGGGATGATGTTGAACAGGTCGTGCAACATGATGATGACGGTATGGGACGCCGTGAAGGTGACGAGGTGATTCGCGACGAACAGGACGATGGAGGTCGTCCTCACATCTGGAGGATCGTATTTTTGTTAACCGTGGTCGTCTGTTGAGAGGTCGAACTCACCTTTGTATCCGAGCACGGCCGAAACTCCAGATGGGAGGTTCTTATTGAGAAGCTTTTCTGAGGTGTGGTGTCTGTTGAATCGTCTGGATATAATTGGTCGAATGCGACAATCAAGATGCCTACTTCGTCCATATCTTCAAGCAAAGCCCGCCCGCGACGATCGAGAACACGAAGGTCAGGATCATGAAGACGAGACGCGCTGCCCCCAGCGGCAGGTCATTGTGAATGAGCTTACGGGCGATGTTGCGAAAGCGGGAGTACATGCTGGCGAGTGGGACAATTTCGCCGTCGCAGTGCCACAGTTAAGTCGAGGGCAATAGAAGCATCCGTGGAAGGACATCATCGCACCACCTGTCACGCCGGCTGGTTTTTGGCGCCATCCGTGAGATGATGTGCCTCTAAGCGCA